ATTTATTTTAATCTCACTCGCGCTATCTCTCTCTCTCTCTCTCTCTTCCTGTCTCACAGTCTTTGTCTTTCTCTACCTCATCTCTCATTTCTTTGTTTGTCTCACCGAATTCTTATCTCTTACTAACAAAACTTTCTCAAATGAAAAACTAAAGTCGACAAGGTTATAAGTCGTAAGAGTTCTCTAGTAATCAATGCAGTCGTTTATACCCGTTTGTAAATTTCTTACTTCTTCACATTTTGTTTTTTATTTTACTGTAATTTGTTTTTGTATTTTTTCTCTATCTCTCTCTTTCTTATGTGGCGTTTTGCATGTGTCATGTTGAATTAACAACACATGAGTTGTGCGTATTGAGTGTGTGTGTGTGCGTGTGTAGGTGTGTTTGCGTGTATGTATTATTTGTTTGCTTGATTTACAAAACAGTTGAGTGCTTGTCTGAGTGTGTGTGTGTGTGTATTGCAATGCATAGAAAATCAATATTACTTCTTACTTTTATATTAAGCTAAACACATGTGTACGTGCATGTGTGTGTGTGTGTATTTGCCGCTCTTGTTGTTAATACTTTATGAATTATTAATCGGCTATGGATTCTCGCTTTGTCTGTCCTCCTGAGTACATTTACCCATAATTGAAGCGGCAATCTCAGTCGATACTTTTGGTACTCGATACCCGCTGATTGAATTCCGGTGGGGGCAGGGTATATATTTCAGGCGGGTACATATGAGACGATTACAGTTGAATGCTTGAACAGCTATGCAAATTGACAGCTTTTCACAAGCTTAAATCGTAATACAAATTGTATTTTATTTTGTAATTTAATTGCGTATTTTTTTATATATTCCCTTTAGACCTGAAGGTCGTTTGAACTTAGGCGTAATATAGCTGAAAACATTGATTTTCAATATACAATATATGCAGCTTCTTAGCTATATTTTTCCCAACTTTCCAACAGTTCCAACAGAGCATCTATCCGTTATTCTCAGAACTTCAAGCAAATCAACATCCAACAAGTTGGGTACAGAGGAAAAATTTCAGTTCATGAATAGACAGAATAAATAATAAATGATTGTAGGGTATTTATTGGCTGTATGTTCTTATTACTATCCATATAGTAATAAAGAGACACAGCCAAAACCATATGAGCAGTATATAAAAAACATAGCTTAATAGATATAGAAAAAATCCATTTAAAGGGTATTTACTAGTTGAGCTAGCGGACTTCTGAATATTTGCTCAAATGACTAATACAAGAATATTTCATCTAAAGCTTAAGTATAAAGTTATGAGTGCAGTGAGCGTTAAAGAAAAAATATAAATATATACATATGTATGTGTATATGTATGTATGTATATGGAGTTCAGGTATTTACAAGTTGGATTGATGTACTTTGACGTACTTTCTGATATGCGTTAGTCCAGAGCAGTAGCAGCTGGTAATCAACATAAATCACATATACATTTATACACTCATATTGCTGTACCTCATTAATTCAGAGTTGTAGCTGCTTAAAGGGTATCTATGGGCATATCTAGTAGCGTATCCCTTAGCCTGTTTGCTATTTGTCATTGTCTTCTGGCTGTACTGCAATTGCGTTAAGTAATTTTGAAAGTAGCTCACATGCTGCTCCTGGTTTTGACTTAACGAGCATTTAATTGCCAGGCTTACCCCTGGTGACATACACACACACACACACCAGCACACACACACGCACATAAATTAGCTGATTACCTGCACTTCCTTTCCGGTTTACCCTTTCTGCATATCTTTCGCTTTTATTGCACTCGCTGGCTTCTGTTTCTGCTGCTGTTGCCATTTTCTTTACACACACCCACACACACACACATTCATATAATTCTATGTAGTTTCATCTTCTTTATCTGTTTTTCTATTTTTTGCTAATGCTTTGCATTTTTATTCACAGTTTCATTCATAAATTACAGGGAATTTCTTATGCAGCCAGCAGCAGAGTTCTAGGAAAATAAACAAACAAATGTCGCCTTGTTATCTCTCTTTCTGTTTCACTCTCGCTGTCTCCCTCTCTCTCTCTCTCTCTCTCTCTTTGTCTGCCTCTCTCTCTCTCTCATTTCGACATTCGCTGCCTCTGTCAGTATCTCTGTCTCACCCTGATCTTGCGCCCCGCGGATGTCTAGCGGGAATTGTGCATGTTAATTAGCTAATTTTCGGGCGTAGATTAAGCAAATTAACCAAATTAACTAAATGAGCAGCAAGTAAATAAATAAATTAAATGCCACAAGATAGAGAGAGAGAGAGAGAGACAGAGAGAGAGAGAGGGAGAGACAAGGGTTAGCGGGAGCTTAACTATTTGCTAATGACTGGCTGGGCTATCTATCAAGGTCAGGGCGAAGATTATCAGCAAATGCATTAGACCCAATCGCCACTAAATTAAGAGACATTAGCCATGGCCATAAACCGTATCAATTTACATATCCCAATATCATATGAAAATGGTCGATTCATTGTATATATGAATGTATATGAACGTATATATTGAACATGGCTTGTATTAGACCTAGATAATTTTGGACGTATTGAAATGAGAAATTTTTGATAGCTATAACTGAATATCTGATATATCAATAGAGGTAAGAGATACATCAAGATACGTTAAATGGGTATATAACGGAGGATTAGAATATCTACACAAAATATCTGATATATGGGTAGGAAAGCAAAATGGGTATATAATAAATGTTAGTTGACTTAGATCCTATATATATGAGGAGATATATAATGAGGCCCAGCAAACTTATACCACAGCTAACATTTGGATCTATATTTTAGTATTTATATGTCAGATACTATATATAATATAGGTACTATATTTGATATGTGATTTCTCGGAGCAAAAACTGAATTGTATTTAGTAAAGCTCTCAGATGTAGGAAATGGGGGAGAGAGTGTTTCCCTTTCTTCTTGCATGAATGTTTGAATTTCGTATAGCCATTTGTAGATATACGCAATTACATACATATATGACAAAAAGACATTCACACAAGTTTACTCACATACATACACTATTCTCTAAACAGCTGCAGGGTATTGCCCAGTCGTGCGTACCCAGCTATGCCAACTTCAATTGCATGACTTTATCTGAAGACGTTAAATTGATGGCATTTCGGCTCTTGTGGTTGGGCCATAAATCATCTTCATCATCATCAGCATTGTCATCATCACAACGGGGACTAAGTAGTGCCCTCTACCCCTTAAGCAGCTATGCGAAAATGAGCCCCCCTTCCACAGTGCCACACACTTTCCTAGTTCTGGTACAGCTGTAACTTTTAATGCACTAAACAAGTGCCAAAAGTTACGTCTTAAGTTTCGCATATTCGTAAATTGCGTTCCTAGCACCAGCAGTCATTACGCTAAATGTGCGTCTGTGTGAGTGAGAGGGTAAGTGTGTGACGGTGTGTATATGTGTGTATGCCGTGTCTGTTGTCTGACTCAAGCACTTTACGAACTCTGCGGCAGCAAAACCTTCGCAGGCCGCGGCTGAGGCTGTGTGTCCCTCTAGTGGGATATCCGGGTGGTGCCTGAGCGAGCCGTTGCATGCAACATGAAGTTGCACATGTGAATTGGCCGCGTCAAACCATGCAACACTCGGGGGAATCACGCTACTATATTTTTTTTTTTTTTTTTTTTTTTGCTGACGTGGCTCACCTGACGCTCCAGCCCTTTCGCTAGCTCTAACCCTTGTCTGGGTAATTTTGAGAAATTTACGCAGCGAGTGGCAAAGTTTTCCACTGCTGGCAATTAAATTGCGCTTGATGCTAATTGAAATAGAATTAGCTGCCACTTTGGTGAAGTGCAACGATCTGGCAGCACTTACAACTAGTTCAAGTTAAGTGCGTCGGCCTATCGATTGAATGGATAATTGAGATTGAAACGAGTTCGTTAGTTGCAAACTAATTGTAGCTAAACGCGCGCCAAACTGTTAATGAACCAAGTGGAAATTTTATGACGCAGGTGCATGCATCGACTATTAGATACTCTGTATTTATAGTGAAATGGAAACAAAAGACTTGAATCGTGGATAATGGGTTAACATATACCATATACTATGATTGTCGTTCAAATTTATCTAAATATATATGTATATACAGTAGTGTCCGTCTATAACTACTCCGGTTATTGTGACGAAAATTCTGGTCCCCAAAAAAACTTATTTGAGCAAACGTAAACGGTTAAAGCGTCTTCCGGGTCCCTTGAGTGTCGTTATAACCGCATTTTACTGTATACATATATGAATTTTATTTCTATTTCTATATTTACCATCAGTTGAAATCAGCTGTCTTTATTTATTGCTAATTGTTTATATCTCGAGTATACAAAACATAATATTTCATGCAGCTCCAAACTGCGGTTAGGGTATTCCTGAACTGAGCATGCCCAACTAAAGCCCTTTAAACTCTCTTAAATTTTACGTTGAAAACTTATTCAAAGAGGCCAACACTGTGATATATCTAGTGATAACAAGCTTTTTAAAATGTTCAGATTTTTTGATATTTCAAGATAAAACTTGGTGTTGATTTAGATGTAAGCTTACCGGGGGTTCTCAAGAAGTTGTAAATATAAAATTGAATAATTCAAGCTAAAGGTCAAATAAAGAGCATCTATGTTAGTAACTTGATGGGTCTGCTCTAAGGAATTGGTACACACACAGACCACTTTGCACCCCATCGTTATCTAGCATCTGGATTCATAACTCTGATGTATGTACTTTGCACTTATGTTTGTATGAAGACAATATCTCGAAGCCAAAATGTTTCAAGTTTCGGGCAAAGTTTGTTGATTTTGATTTTGATTTGACTGTTGGCTGTTGGCCAAGGCAAGCGAATGACCAAAGTCAATATTTGCCACTTGCCACATTCGAGTGCCGCACTCGAAAGTTTGTCGTTTGTATTTGCAACATTTGTAACCGGCTCTTCCCATCTCTCTTTCTCTCTCTCTCTCTCTTTCTCTCTATTTCTTCTATTGCCAGTTGTGAAGCTGGCGGTGCACGCTGAGGAGGTCAGCACTTCGGCTGGCATCTCTGAAGGTGAGTAGCTGACGCACATGCTGCATGCCGCATGCCGCATGCCGCTTGCCACATGCCACAACGATGTACTCAATTCAGAAAACTGTTTCGCAGAATGGGGCTCCGGGTGGCAGGGCGGAACCAACTTTCTGGTAGAGGTCGAAGAGACGGCTGCCATGTCCCCAAATGCCGCACGTGGCAGCAACAGCAGCAGCAACGCATCCGTGGACTACAATGCTGAGCTAGCCAACAGCCAGGAGACAGACCCTACGGGCACAGCGACCACAGGCACCAACAACGGCACAACTCTTGAAACGGGTTAGTTGAGTTCAACGGTTCGAACTCGTATTTATAATCAATTAATTTATGTGATCCCCCTTAATCCAGCGCAATGAAATATAGGTAGCCATTTACGTAGTGTACCACGGGCATTATGATTGGGATTATACATACATATTTAATCGGTTTATCTGATTTCATTCCAGTCACCAATTAACTGGTCTTCTGGTACTTGTATTTGAAGTCTCCGATTAAATTATTAAATTCACTCAGAATAAACTTATCTAGTTAGAGAAAGAGACAGAAAGAGAGAGGGGGGATTTTTAGAGATGCAGCCAACTTAATTAGCGTATACAGCCAAAGAGCAAGAGAAAGAGATAGCGATAAGAGTGAAGGGCTTACAGATTAGCTTTGATCCAGCCAACTTAACAGGCACTTGGCAACATATGTTGTTTGCCAGATGGTCAATATTGTTTGAGTAGAGCTTCAGCACAAATCTGCTTCAAGTAGATCGAGGATTTCCCTAGGCAAGAAATTATCCCGCTAGTTTTGCCAAATTAGCTGATTAATTAAAAGTTAGCGTTGCCAGATCATCAGGAACACATATAGGATATTAGATAATGAGATCCTGACAGCTATTGCCGTTAGTTTTAGGTATGCGCTGGCGTTGCCAGATCGTCAAAGTAATCTAAAAACTCTATTAGATATATTCAGTAGGATTCGTATTATTACGGTGCTACCACACGGGTGAATAATTAGATAGATTAGATGGACAGTCTATCCGATGTTGCCAGATCGGAATGTAAATATTGAATGTAAGCAACCGATTTTGGGTTGTCAACAGCGAATTCTGTCAGGCTAACAACAATACCAATCTAACCATCGCTAAGCCGGCGTTGCCGGATCACTCCACACACGGGGAGAAAACACGACAAGAAGCAGACTTAAATCGTAAAACAACATAAAAGCGACGCATGTTCGGCTTTAAAACAAATCCTTGAGGATGCGAGTGCGCAGGATACGAGTAATTGAATGTTTATGGTCTTAACTGTAATCCAATTGCCCTCTGCGACAACGAACAGCCAAGAGACAAGAGCCATGAGGTGGCAGGTGCTGAGACAGCAGCAAAATGTGGCAGCAAATGCGCGATAATTGAATTCCACTCTTGCGGCCTCTTGAGTTATTTATGCATCGTACGTGCAGCACACAGAAATTTAAAATACAAATAATAATACAACAGCAACAACAACAACAAACAAAGAACATATTTTACCGTACATTTCATAGAGAACAATTGAAATAAGTTTTCTTCCATCTCGATTGTAGGCCCTAAGATCATTGTGCGCACCGAGGAGGTGCTGATTGTGGGCCTCGTACTCATCCTCTGGGTGGGCGCCATAATGCTCTTCTTCAATCGCTGGGGCAAGATACGCATGCTGGAGCCGTACCAGCCAAAGTTCCAGCAACAGCATCGCAGTTCCTGTCCGCTGGTCGACATCGATGCCGTGCAGACACATCAGGTATTATATATAGATATACATATATAGAAATGTTAAAACAAATCTAAATATATCTGATATTCAAATAAATATTAAATCAAGAGCTTGTGACATCAGCCATAAAGTTTTCAATTGCCATGTTAATTCGATTCAATTGAATGTATATATACATCTATCCATATCTATCTACACATCTCTCATTGATATTCTCTTTGGTTTTTGTCATTGCAGCGCTCGTCGGTGTCCCGCATGTCGATGGGCATGGTGCACAATCATAATTTGAATATGCCAACGTGTCAATTTGCGGCCTATAATCCCAACATATATGCGAAGGGTAAGCCCATTGTCCTTGACGTCCTTGCCACGTGCCCCGCACCAAACGGCTGCGCCGGCCTTTACGCTTTACGCTCGTGCCTCATGTTGCATGCTGCACGTCTATCGTTTCCACCCCATTCATATTCAACAATGCTATGCCAGTGGGTATAATCAGTCATTGCAACGGTCTGCATGTAATGGGAAGAATTGCTATGAAGTGTGATCATGAAAATTGAGAAATCATGAATAATCGATAAATGTCGATATGCATTATTTGTAGTTTAGCTCAAAACTTAAAAAGCTGAAGACATCGAGCTTTGATAGTCCCCCATGGTACCTACATAGCATCGAATATTGCTAACTGACTGAAAAATGTTCTCAATAAAAATTCTTTACAGAGCATCTACTAGTCGCGCATTTCTCTACTATTTACTTTTGTTTGTTGGTTTTCGTGTGAAAAATTCGCGTAAAATGCAAATGCAAAATGCAATTAAATACGAACAACGTCTTCACACACACACATACTCACAGTCGATAGACCCTATTCCGCGCGCGTGTGTGTGTGTGTGCTGTCAACTCGTAATGCATGTTGTGTTGCCTACTTTTGTGCGAAACGCTGCAAACTTTCCGATGCAAATAAATTTTGCATGAATATACATGTTAATCGCATCGAACGAGCTGCAAGTTTGCAAACTTTTCGCCTTAAGAACCAGAAGAAAAAGAACTTGTCTAGCTTATCGAACTTATAGAGACTTGATTTAATAATCACTCTAATCAATGTTTTGCCTCAAGTGTTTTAAATTTGGTAAATATAAAGGACTATTCGAAAACTAGCGCTTTGGCCAATCATCATAAATTGAAACTAAAATTTGAGTTGCTTTACCCTGCACTTCATTTAATGGTATGCAGTTGCGTAACTTTTAAGGGCTATAAAAGTTGATGAAGCCGCAAACTTTTATATCAACATTTATTTAGCCMCGCTTGACTAATTACATACATGCATGCATGATCTATGTACATATGTATGTGGACCCCCTTTGCGAATATAACATGATACTTAGATATGGGTCACTCATCATTAATTCAGCTCTATAGGCAACAGCTGCCAGGACTAGTAGGGCAAAAATAGAATGAACTTGGTGGTCTATTCAGGTCTTATAGAAAACTCAGTCAAGCCTGAACTGATGTAGATCTAGAAATATATATGATAAATGCCTAAGAAAGTTTATCTATAATTTTAGTTGCATACATATATATTATGCATTAAATAGAGTTCTACTTGTGTTAACTCACATTACCTAGGGTATTTCCTAGTCGTGCACTCCCCGTCACGCAGCTCTTAAGAAGTTGTGCCAGCTTAATGCATTTGTCTTTTATGCCGGACGCACATGTTTGCGCTTTACGCATTAGCGCCGCTGTCAGAGAGGACTTAATTTTGCCAAGATGCAACTCACTGGAAAGAGTAGTAAACACAGCGAACCAGAACGAGACAGAGAGAGAAAGAGAGAGAGAGAGAGAGAGTAAAAGAGAGCAGCGAAATATAGCTTATAAATATGTTTAATGCGCGCTAGTTGAGGCGTTGCCTGCTTTAAGTACTGCATTCTAGTTGGACTTCTAATGAGTTGCCAGACAATTAAGCTCCACAACACCAAGGCAGAGAGGGCGCACACGAGGAGGCGTGGCGCGCTGTGAGGCCTGCTCAAAGGGGGGAACCGAAGGCGCCAGCGAAGCAAATAACAATACAATTTTAATGCCATTTGCTGGCGCTCGAGAATGCTCCGGCTCCAGGTCCAGCTCTGACCCTGACGACAATAGCTATGCAATTAAATCTAGTGGAAACGTACATATACACACGCACGCACACCCACACACACATGCTTATACGCAACTCATGGACTAGCAAATGGAAAAATTGCTAAAAATGGAATGCGCAGTGGGTGAAATGGGAAGGGAAAGCTGCTTTTTCATGCATCTGAGTGTGTGTGTGTGTGTGTATGTGTGTGTGTGTGTGTGTATGACTGTGCGAGTAAATGATCAGTCGATTGTGTGTAGTCACTGATGATATTAAATGAGTCTATCAAATTTGGATTATGACTAATTCATTAGCCTGTCATTAACAATACTTTCATTAGATATTTATGTCTAGCACTATCAAAGCCTTATCTATGAGTACTATTATTTTTCTACCCACTTTTTATTTAATATCATAACTATATTCGTATTATATTACACATTATTATAATGCTGGCCATTTTCTTTAACACTTTCATCATATCATTATCATTGACATTCGTAACAGCCTAGAAATGTTCATGGCATTGGGATGAGAAAATCCATTATCATAATCATTATCATTACTATTTCTATAATTTTATTAGCATAGTTTTTTTTTTTTTTTTAATTTAACCATCATTAGCATTATCATTATGATTCTCCTTGTCCCGGTATCATTAACATTTCCATTACCACCCCGATCGTAATCACCGCCTAATAATGCTGCAACCTAGCACTAATACTGGTATTTTCTTTGAATACCAATGGCATATACTAATATAAAATATTTTTACTTATTTATTTCAGGCTATGCCTCGCATGTCTCGCACGTCTCTCGGCCTCGGCAGAATTCGGTTTTCGTGGGTGCCAGCACGAGTCACTATTTGATGCCGAGACCCCCAAGGAAGACGCGCTCCGCCATGGATCTGCACTCGATGGTGCTGGACGAGAGTGCCGAACAGGTGTAGATAGGAGGAGAGAGAGAGAGAGTGTATGTTAAGGCTTAAGTGTGCGCGTGTGTGTGTGTGATACTGTGTGTGAGTGTGGATGTGTGACTGAGTGCAGGTGCGAGAGAGCTCAGCTAAGGCATAAGTAAGTCAGCGAGTAAGTCAAGTTTAATGTCAATAGGCAGCTGAAGATGATAATAAAGAGTACTAAATGCAGTTCTACTAGAATACAAAACTGTCCAACAACTACTACAATTTACAATGTACAAATGTAAAAACTCAAAGCCACGCAATTCTACACCCAATTTCTATCTATCATTCTCTCTATTTCTCTCTCTCTTTCGCTCTCTCTCCCTTTCTCTCTCTCTCTCTGTTTCTTGATTTGCTGAGGAACCATGGCCTCAATTTCATCCGCGACAAAGCTCGCTGCTATGACACATCTTGCGTTAACATTTTGTCGTGCTGTTCAGCATTTGTCTGTCACTCTGCATCCCATGCATTATTTATAGTATTATTAATTATTATATTTATCTTTCTACCTTACGCGCAACAGTCTCCCAAATACGCCATAACTCTCACACACACAGTCAAAAGGAAACTATTTCGTTACCCTATACTTACATAATAAGGTTTACTTAGTATTATAAATTTAAATAGATCGTTGCAAGTAAAACAGTTTTGTTGCAAACGCTCAAAAGATATCCCCCCATACGATTACATATTTTGCTATATCTCCTAACTACAAGTGTCTATAGCTATACCTATACCTAGATACCTATACCTAAATCTATATCTATATCTATATCTATATCTATATCTA